GGAGGGAGGGTGACAGAGATGGTGGGGGGACAGGGAGGGGATGAGAGAGTGAAATAATATATAGGACTGTGTGTGTATGTGTGCACTTTTAGGGAGGGGGCGTGGCAGGTTGGAAGGCTCACACTTACCAAGGCATGCAGACACATACACACACACACACAGACACACACACACACACACACACACACACACACACACACACATGCAGACACAGGGATAGAAGCTTGGGAAATACTAGACACTTTTACACAGGAATGTAGACATCCATTTAGATTTTCTCACAGACACAAGGATACCCAGACACTAATTTGTAGACCTGGTAGCCAGGTGATTCTAGAACTGGGCCAGCTGAGTCCCCAGGGCTGGAGCCCCGTGAGGAGCCAGGGGCCTCTGGTCCCTTGCCCAACTAGTCAGGTGGAAGAGTTGTTATTGGCCAAGAGAACAGGCAATGGAGAGAGGAGGAGATTGTCTCCCCTTCCCTGAGCTCTTCTGAGGAGTCCAGCATGGTTCCTCACAAACCCTGGAGGTGGATCTGGTTCAAGTCTGGCCTCTATCACTTATTAGCTTTATGTCCTCAAGCAAATGCCTTCACGTCTCTGAGCCTCTGTTTTCTTAGCTGTAAGATGAGGCTTCTTTATGTCCACTTCGCTGGGCAAGGATGGCTTTAGATAATGTCTGGAAAGCAGCTGGCAGAGTGTCTGGCGCACTGTACGCACTCAGATCACTTTTATTCCTTCATTTGTTAGTCTAACACATCTTGGCACTCTGCCGCGTGGGACTGTGTGCTGGACCCAGAAATTGCAGAGCAGTATAGGGCAGAGCCCCACTTCAAGGAGACAATGCTTCTGGGCATTTGCCCTCACTGCTCTGAGATCGTCTTGCCCACCTGCTCTGACTCTCAGGAACCTGTGTGGCCTTTAGCACATCTGACCTGTGGCCCCTCCCCCAGAAGACTTTCTGACCCTCTTTGGCAACTGTATTCCCCTCCTCTTGGAGTTCACAGGTGATCGACTCTGGCCATTCACCCACCTCTTCCAAGCTTCCATCCACGACGGGTCGTAGTCTACCTGGTCTAGCTCCCTTTCCTCTCTCACCTCTTATTTCTATTCCCTTTTGATCATTGGCTCCAGCTATGAGGGTTTCTTTCGGCCTCTCACATGTGCCAAGCTTGTGTGCAAATTTGCCCTTGCAGTTCCTTCATCCAGGAAGGCTCTTGTCCCTGCATTTTGCCCTGTTCACACCACACATATACTCACACATGTATATGTATGAGTACACATGCATACACACATATCCACACACATATATTTAGCATATTGGCTCTTTTCTCATCATTCAAGCCTCAGCTTCCTGACACCTTTTCAGAAAGGTCATTGCTCTTTTCCTTCTTTGGAATATGACCTTTGCCATTTGCTAAAACATCTGCATGCTATAGGAAGAGGTGAAGGGGGGAACTCCCATCCAGAAGCCAGGTGATATCTGTTTCTTAACACATACATTTTCTCTTATTATTTTTTGAGTCAGCAGCTCACTCCCTCACCCAGGTGACATGTGGTGGTATGATCACAGCTCACCACAGCCTCAACCTCCTGGGCTCAGGTCATCCTCCTGCCTCAGCCTCCTGAGTAGCCGGACTGTAGGTGAACATTACTACACCTGGCTGATTTTTAATTTTTTGAAGAGACAAGGTCTCGCTGTGTTGTCCAGGCTAGTCTCGAACTCCTGGGCTCAAGCAATCCTCCCCGCTGATCTGGCCTCTCAGAGTGCTGGGATTACAGGTGTGAGCCACCATGCCTGGCCAACACATCCATTTTTATAGGTTATTTTTATACAAGCATTTGTAACTGAGGTTCCCACACCCCAACACTGTTCCAGAAGTTGGTTTGGGCAGCTGCTGCCTGAGAGAAGGGAAGACCTCATGTCACCTTTAAACAAATGTATAGTATACATTTAAAAACCAATGCAGGTATGCATTTAAAAAACAAGTATAATAATAATAAACAAGATAAAATATGCACTTGACAAGATATTCAAATATATCTTTTGGCCACAAAGGAGAATCACAATGATAAGGTAAAGGATTCATCTGAAAGGAACATTAGCTCTGGATTTGAGGGGAAAGGGAGACACTGTGTTAGTTCAGCATTTATCTTTTGATGTCTGGGACTGAGTTCCTTGCCTCATTTTCCCTCTGTGGGTGTACAGATCCACACGTTCAAGCCTGTTCTTTAGGCTGTAATTACTCTGTAAGAGATACTTGAGGAAGGAGGACATGGTGGAGGTAGGAAGGGAGAGGTTTTCTGTTGAAATCATCTTGGTTGTTTACTTGATCTGTATTGACTTTCCTCTTTCCCCGGCAGAATGTAAGGTCTGTGAGAGCCCAACCCTGTCCCTTTTATTCACCATGATGTTCCTGGGACCCAACTTGGTGCCCACCAGTCCTTTCCTTTTCTGTCCACTCGTAGCTGGGAGAACTTGGTCCCTTGAATGGAGCTGAGCTGGCCTCTCTGCTGCCTGCCACTCTGCCTGTCTTCCCCCAGGACTCCCACACAAATGTCATCAGAGGGAGCGTCCCACCTCTGCTCTTGGATGGCTTGTATACTGTATGTAGATGAGGGCCATTGCACCTGGGAGCCCCTTGCTGAATCCTTTCTGCTCAAACTCAAGAACCAATCAGATTTGGCTGAATCCTCAGGTGACTCCACCCCTACCTAAACTCTTGCTGCTACTATCCAAAACTCAGAAACCGAACTGATGAGGATCATATGACTTTCCTGACTCCACATTCTTGTTTCTTAGGAATAGAATAGATTTGAATAGCAAGGATATTTGTACAGTGATATATTATTATAGTACATACTAACACAGTATGTTAGTTTTTATACCTTTAGTATCTGTTGATTGAGAAAACATAAAGTTAGGTAACTTGGGAATTGTGTGATAGCAGTTTGGAATTACAGAAATCTCTACATGCATTTGATTTATACTTGACTTTTTTGTGCTATTATAAATGGTATTTAAAAAAATTTTCTAATTCCAGCTAGTAAATAAGAATGCAGTTGACTTTTGCATATTGTTCTTGTATCCTATAATCTTGCTATACATAGTTATCAGTGCCAGCTTTTTACTTGCAAACTTTTAGCAACTCTTTGTTAGCAAAGGCAATAGAATAAACATTGTTACACCAAAAAAAAAAACCATGTAGTTTTCCCAAAAAAAAGTACAATGTATATAATGGGTGAGGTGAGTTTTAACCAAAACTTACCACATGAAGCCAGTAAGAAAATCACAACAATTAGAAAACTCACTTTTTATTTTTTTAATTAATTTATTTTATTTATTTATTTTTTGAGTTGGAGTCTCACTCTGTCACCCAGACTGGAATGCAGTGACCGCTCCCAGCCACTGCAGCCTCGACCTGCTGGACTCCGGTGATCCTTCCATCTCAACCTTCCAAGTAGCTGGAACTATGGGCGTGCACTACCACACCAGTAAATTTTTTATTTATTGTAGAGATGAGGTCTCGCCAAGTTGCCCAGGCAGGTCTCGAACCCGTGGGCTCAGGCAATCCACTCACCTTGGCCTCCCAAAGTGCTGGGATTACAGGCTGGGCCACTGAGCCCGGCTGAAAACTCACTTTTTAAATGGCCCATTAATCACAGAATAATTTCCAGTTGTTTTAAAAAATAGATTTCGTAGAGTTTTTGTTTTCTACATAGACAATCATGGTATCTGAGATTAAAGACAGTTTTAGTTCTTCCTTTCCAATCTGCATACCTTTTGTTTCTTTTTCTTGTCTTATTGCACTAGCTAGAACTTCCTCCACATATATTTGGAAAATAGTACCATATCCATACAGAGTTATGGTGTGTCTGGATTCTCAGGCCCCTTTGCAGCCAATCCAGGGTCTGGGGATGGGAAACTGCTAAGCCAACCTGTCATACTGCCCACTTTGATGGGGGTGGGGATCAGAAGCCTAGCGGGTGCCCCTGGGGAGTGTGGGGCAGACCCAGCTTTGCTCCTAGAAGTGACTTGCAGCTTGGTACTCCCTGTGGCCTCTGTCCTTTCTGTGTCACAGAATGTGCTTCTCAATTGACTCCAAGCCATGGAACATTAGCCATGTGTTTGGGAATTTGTGGTGGGTGAGGCAGGAGTGACAAGCAGGAGAGCTGTGTTCCTGGGTGGCCTGGGCTGGCCTCTCCCTTCAGGAAGAGTGTATGCTCTAGGATCTGGGCTCAGGGCAGGGGACAGGGCCAGCATCCTGCTAGGTGGTGGTACATGGTGAGCTGGAACCGCAGCAGATTCTCCAAGGTCATGGCTACAGAGGATGTTCACCTCTCACTTGCTATTGACGTTCCTCAAATATCAGAGTTGAGGAGTTTTAAGGGACAGTCTCTGCCAGATTTCTCATTGTACAGGTGGGGAAACTGAGGCAGGGTTATTGCTGATACAAGAATCCAGGTCTCCGTGGAGACAGGATATGTGTGCCTGGTGACCAGGGCCAACGACATGTGAGCAGAGTGTGTCATTTCTGGGCAGAAGTATTTAAGACTGGATATGACTTTCTGTGCTTTTCTTCACTGTTTGGGCAGAACTTGAAGTCTCATTTTGAGCTTGTGACATCACAAAGTGGTGGTGCCTTCAAGTGACTGCTATGAGTAGAGCCCGCTTCCAACCTGTGTGTGAGTGAGAAATTAACAATTGCTGTTTTAAACAGCTGAGATCATTTGTGAACACAGCAAACCTTACCCCCATGCTAACTGATACACTGCTTGGCAGAGTCTCTTGACAAAGCCACCTTGGCAAAATCTCTTAACTGCTGCCAACCTCGGTTAATTTATATTTTATTTTATTTTTATAGAGATGGGGGTCTTGCTATATTGCCCAGGCTAGTTTCAAACTCCTGGGCTCAAGCAATCCTCCTGTCTTGGCCTCTCAAAGTGCTGGGATTACAGGTGTAAGCCACCACACACAGCCCAACCTCAGTTTTAATACATGCCATGCAGCAGAGGCACACTCAGTCCTGCTCTGGTGAGCTTTTTCAGGTTTTGGGGTGTGAATGAAAGCTCAGGTGCGGCAGGGCTGGGAAGTCTGAGTCTTTGAAGGGGAGAGCCCAGACATGCAGGATGCTGAATGACCATTACTCCAAGTGGGCCTGTGGTCACCTCCCTCATACTGGGACACCGTCTCAGCCTTGACTAACAGATGTGTCCCCTTTGGCAGGTGGCCCTCCCCCGGGCGGCGGTGCCCCCTGGCACCTTCAAAATGTCCTCAGCGACTCAGTGGAGAGCTCGGACGATGAATTCTTTGATGCTAGAGGTGAGTGAACCCCAGCCTCACATCACTGTCTGGGTGACCTTCCTAGAAGCCCCAAGAAGAGGATCCCTGCTAGGGGTTCTCATCCCTCCCCACTCCGACATGGCATTTGCAGCTCTACATTGCGTGCTTACCCATCCGAGGGCAGGGGCTTGGCATGCGCCTGTTCTCTCTTTGAAATCCTTGTGGGGCCCCTCACGTGTGCTAGGAGCTGCGCCAGGTGCCAGGGAGACTGCAGCCACCAGGCGGCACAGTCACCACCCTCATCAAGCTTATAGCCTAAACAGAGGCAGATATCAAACAGTGACACAGGAAAATACAATGACAAATGGGAAATGATGCCACCAAGTAGAAAGTGCCAGCTGTTACAGGTGAGAACAGTGAGGGGGTCTCCTAATCGAGTGTGGGCAGGGGTGAAATCCTCTCTGCAGAGCTGAGGGGAAGGAGTTGGCTGGGTGAAGAGAGGAAGGAAGAGCCTTCCGGACACAGGAGGCAGCAGGTATGATGGCTCTGAAGGAGGAAAGACTGGGGAGCATTCCAGGAAATGATGGAAGACCCCGGTGACAGGGAGGTGTTGAGCAGGGTTGGGGAGGGAGGAGGGTGGTGTCGTGAGAGATGAGGCCACAGGCCCATGCCTGTGGTCCTGTCTCGCTTTGACATCAGCCTCATCGATGCAGGGAGCACCACAGTGTTAGAAAGACTGTTGCTCAGATGAGAAATTGCTATTGGGTCACAGCGTAACCAGCCCACAAGATAAAGCAAGGGGCAGCATTTATGCTGGGATTGAGGGAAGGGGCCTCTGATAGGGAGGGCATTCCAGGCAGAGAGATCAGCTTGAGCAAAGGTTCAGAGGTGTGAGCACACGGGGCAGGCGTGGGGGCACTGGGAGGTGGAGTCAGTCTGGAACTGACAAGACCCTCACCAGCTTTTCTCAGCTGGGCTGGATGGGAGTCGGGAACAAGCACTGAGGGCCTGCTTCCCCAGCCCAGGAGGGCCCCTAGCACCCTCTTGGCTCGCTGGGCCCCACTCTGAGAAGTCACCATATTTAGGGTGTTGTGTTGACTTACTCCTGAGACTGTCTGGCTTTGAAATGCTTGACAAATTGGGTCTTGAAGCAGACTGTTTGCTGGGAAGACATCTCACCCAGAGCAGGACACTGAGATGTGGTCTCAGCCATGCCACCGACTTGTTCTGTGACTTCGGCAGGTCTTTCGCCCTCTCTGGGCCTCAGTTTCCCTATCAGCTCTGTGCCTCCAAAAATGAAAAATACCCAGTTCAGGTGATTTTCAGGCAAGTGTAGCTGGGAGGTTGGGAGCTGTCCCGACTTGAGCCTCCCCCATCCTTGGCTCTGGGTGGAGAATCCTTGCCCTGATGCCGGTGCTAAATCAGCCAATTTGGGGCCTGTCTCCCATGGGTGTCTGACTGGAGTGACTGCCGGGCTGAGTTTCTCCATAGCAACGAACCCACAGTGTGACAACACGGCTTCAATATTTTGATGCTTAGAAGATTTTATTTAAAACATTTTTGCAGTTCATCGGGGCTTTGCCTTCCCAGCTGTTGACAGAGGCATCTGCGGGTGTCATGAGGGTCAGCTCCATCTCTTGGGGCCTACCTCACCTGCCTTCCTTGTGATCAGCTGTGGTGCTGCCCTCCTGGGAACCTCTGTCTCCCTCAACTGTCTCTGTCCTTTCCTTTTCTCACCTCACAGCTGTTTCTGCGGTGACATTGGCCTGGTTCTCACCCTTCCCTTATTGGTGGTCCCACCTTCTTCCTCCCTTCTTTGTCTCATCATCTCCTTCTTTGCTTCTACCACCCTCCTGGGATCTCAGACTCTCCCCTCTCTTTCTCCATCTCTTACCTCCCCACACTCCTACAGGACCTCCTCTCTCTGTAGTCTCTCTCCCACCTTGCCTCTTCCAGAGAACCTGTAGCCCTGAGCCACAGGATCTTCCCCACAGGCTGCTGGGACCCTGCTGAGTTCTGACTTGCCAGCCCCTGACCTCCTGTCTGTTCTATGCAGCCTCTCTGGACCAAGGCCTTTTGCGTGTGTCCTGGGCACAAGATAGAAAGAGGCAAAGCCATCCTTTTTCTCTCTCCCAGGAATCTGGTCCTGCCCTACCAAGCCGGTGTTCTGTGTCCAGGGCCAGGCCATGGGTTTCTGAGCTTCTCTCAAAGGGTGCGTCCCTGCTCTCTGCTCTCCTGTTCAGACTGAACCTTGACCCTGACCTTGAGTGTGGTCTCTGTCCTCTGCTTGAGCAGGGTCCCAAATCCTGTTGCTTCCATAGTTCCAAATCTAGGCATAGTGGTGCCAACACCATTAACCCCAGCCCACTCAGACAACCCACACCAGAGCCTTTGAAGCTCCCTGGGTTTCCCATGGACCCCTCAGATAACTCCTTGGTCACCATGGATGTCCAGTCCAGCAGTTCTTTCACATGTGCAGTTTCCACAGGTGACCGTCTCTGTGTCTCCCTGCAGAGACCAGCTTGGCACCAGTAGCCAACTCCTGGGCCTCATTGATGACTGGGCACTATTCTGTTCCTGAGAGCTTGTGGGTCTGTACCCCCTCTTCTGCCTATAAGTCCTGTCATGATCCCCCACCCCTGCCCGACCCAACAGATACAAAAATGACCAGAGGAATGAGCAACCAAGGGACATCTACACTGCAAGACATCCCATTGCTGGTATCAGCATTGAACAGGCTTTTGGAACATTATGTCCTCTTCCTCCTCAATGCACTGATGGAGAAACTGAGGCCAGAGCATGGAAGGGACCTCCCGAGATCACACATCAAGGTGGGAGTGGAAGCGCTGGAACATAGGAGTTGTGTGCAGCTCAGTCCTATTCCTGTGACTCCTCCCTGACCTTGGGATTTCCTCCTTCCATTACAGTCATCAGTGCCAGCCCATTGGCCCAGCACTAGGGTTTACCTTGTTGGGTGAGAGGCCCTCAGAGCTCATGGTCTGGGAAAAGAGGAGAGTCTTAAGTTCTGGGGGGACTCTGGTTGTGTATGTAAGGCATGGGATGGAGCAGGGAACAGTCAGGAGCAGGGAACTCCTGGACAGGCTGCCAGCTCCTTGGGCCACGGCAGCAGGCCTGGGGCTCTGGGGTGGCTGGTGGTTCTGATTAGATGCTTCAGGGAGGGCCATGGGACCCACGCTCTCAGATTCGAAATAAGTGCCACTCCTCCTGTCAATATAGTCAAAAAATATCTAGTAGAGTAGAGCCCCACTCTACTAAGGCTGGAAGGTGCAAAGTGTGGGAAAACCCAGGGTGGCCAGAGGGGAATGTGGTCTCAAACCCAGACCAAACTAGAGCTGGGAGGCCCCTCAAGGTCTTTGAATCTAACACCTCTGGCCCATTTTACAAGTTGGGAAACTGAAGCCAGAAAACGTGTCCAGGGCCACACAAAGAGGCAGAGCAGGAGCTAGAACTCAGCCTCATTCATTCACTACTTGAGCGTCTGCCCATCAGGTGCTGGGCATTATTCTAGGCATAGGGGATACAGGAGCAAGTGGACGCTGACCCAGCCCTCACGGAGCTTACAGCTTAATGGTGGTGGTAGCTGGTGAGTGGGAAAACAATAGACAAGCAAATAAGATATACTGAGAATTGCCATAAAGAAAATAACATAAAGGAACAGATATTTCACCAAGAAGAGATACGAATGGCAAATATGCACATGAAAGATGCCCCGTGTCGTTAGTCATTAGGAAAATGCAGATCGAAACAGTCACCTATTTGAACATCTGATTAAAGTGACTGATCAGGATGTGAAGGAATTGGAACTTTCAGACTCTGCTGATGGGAATGCACAATGGTACAGCCATTTTGGAAAAGAGATTGTAGCTGCTTAAGAAGTTAATCATACCTAACTACCATGTGGCCCAACCCTTCTGTTCCTAGACATTTCCCCAAGAAAAAGAAAGCATATGTCCACCTAAAGACTTGTCCATGAATGTTCCTAGCAGCTTTATTTATTACAGCCCCAGACTGAACACAACCCAAATGGACATCGCGTGAGTGAATAAAGAAATCATGGTACAATAAGTAGGAACGAGTTTCTGATCTATGTAACAATATGGATGGATCTCAAAATAATCATGCCAAGTGAAAAAGTCAGACTGAAGCAGAGTACATCCTGTATGATTCCATTTATATACAACTCTAGAAAATGCAAACTAATCTGTAGTGCCAGGAGCAGACCTGTGGTTGCCTGGGGACGAGAGCGGCGGGAAGGAGGGGTAGACAGGGGGCAGGGGAGAGCTTCTGGGAGGGATGGGCACACATTCGCTAGCTTGATTGGGGTGATGGTTTTACGGGTATGTGCATATGTCAAAATATATCCAATTGTGCATTTTAAATATGTGTAGTTAGCCCGGCACAGTGGCTCACACCTGTTGTTGGGAGACCAGGGTGGGTGGGTTGCTTGAACCCAGGAGTTTGAGACTAACCTGGACAACAAAGCGAAACCTCATCTCTACAAAACCTCAAAAAATTAGATGAGTGTGGTGGCAGGGGCCTTTAGTTCCAGCTACTCAGGAGGCTAAGGTGGAAGGAAACCCCTGAGCCCAGGAGCTTGAGGCTGCCGTGAGCCATGATATTGTAATCATGCATTGCACTCTAGCCTGGGTGACAGAGTGAGAAGATCCCGACTAAAAAAAAACAAACAAAAAAAAGTGTAGTTGGTGGAATGTCAATTATACCTCAATAATGCTGTTTAAAAAATGGAGACCCCCTCCCTCCATATAGCATAAGGGAATGTGGTAGCATGACTGGGTGTCTGGAGGAGGGTCCCTGAGGGTGTGGTCCTGAGCTGAGAGTTGAATAATGAGAAATGAGCCATGTGTGGGTCTGGAGAAAGAGTGTTCAGGACAATGGGAACAGACAGCGTGAAGTGTTTATGGGAGAAGTGAGCTTGATGTCTTTGAGTAGGAACAGCAGGTAGGTCACTGTGGCCAGAGTGAGTCAGGAAGGCGCCAGCTCAGCGCTGTGGGTCCACA